TGGATACGTATACACTCAAATAAACGTTCATTAATTGTACTGTAAATATGGAACTGTTACAATGAACTACAGTAGAACTTAATCACAATATGAATGAAGGGTTGCTCAATCTCCTTGCCATACAAATTACAGCTCCCATTGACGTCTCAGTCGAGAAATACGGGTAGGTGAAGTTTTTCTCGCAAATCTGACTACAAAACCATATCCAAATTTCACGTTCCACTTTTGTCCCTGAGTTGTGCTTCGCACTCGCCGCTGAGGGCGGCGTTCCGGGAACCCTGCGTCAAGGATTGTTGCGTCCGCCTTACAGTATGCACTGTCAATGCTAATACTGTAGCCCCTATTCGATCTCATCCTTCATCTTTGACAACACGTGCATCATCATCAGTGACCTGATCACACCCGGGAAAGTTTATTTTAGTTGGAAAGTTCTGTTTGGTAGAATCACGAACATACCACATACTGTCCATTGCCACGTCATCGCACGCGAGTACAAAAACATAAATTCCAACATACATAATAATTCTTATATTTTTTATTTATTACATGAAAGATTTTACAGTTAAGTAACTACAGATTCTATGTTCTAGAATGACTTTTGGTTGAGCGCAACAAATCATATATGTTCAATACCGGTCATTCCTCTGTCGTCGTGCAATACAACACCACGAAAACCCCGATCCTCCATAATCAATAGGCCTACCATAGTCATTTTGAAATCCATATTGCATTTTTATAATTATTCATAGTTCATGAAATTCTTTATATCGTAATAATAATACTGAAATGTGACTCCATAACAGGAGGTTGTTCAGAGAGATATTAATACATATAATTAAACCTGTCCAAAATAACTGACTTAAGCTAAATAAAGCATGAGGTTCGGAGAACCACTTCCAGCGTTGCTGACAACTCCAGAGGTGGCATCACTCAAGATCTTAGACCTGACATTTCTTCTGCTGACACCGTTGCCTAGATGAACTGCTGCAACACCAGAGACGTGTGGACAAGCCATGGAGGTGCCACTGATGGTGTTGGTGGCAGTGTTGCTGCTGTGCCATGTTGACGTGATGTCAGAACCTGGAGCGAAGATATCGACACAGCTGCCGTAGTTGGAGAAAGATGATCTGTCATCATAAGAGGACCATATACCACCAATAGTTGTAGCTCCGACAGTGATGGCCTAAAAAAAACAGTTCATTTGATTGGCTGATTGAATTCATTTGGCACTCCATTACACAATAAGTACGGCTAGAATCAAATAGTTGCGTATAATATAAATCAAGATAGCTGTTAACACTGTTAAATTATATACCGTATATAAACCATCAAAGAAATGTAAATACAGTGTTCGAATAAAGGACATAATAATACATCGTGTAGCATACACGATGTATTATTATGTTCTTTATTCGAACAC